AGCCTGCACCACTTGTGGTACAAGAGTATACTAAGTTTCTCCTTGTTTCTGACTCGATTTGAGCTTGTCTGTCCGTCTATCCGTCTCGATTTCTTGTGTCCAATTTTGATGAAATTTAGTTCGTTGGCTCTAAAACGAATGTAGTTCCACATAAAGCCTTATGAAAAAAAATCATTTACTGAGTACCAGTGTTAAGCGAATTAGTGTAGGGTATGCCACTGTAGTTTACTTATTCCTTTTTTTTTTAGATTGTAGTTTGAAATAAATTAAATTTAAATAAATTTTCTTAAAACTTCTTATATGGCTTTGATGATGAGGTAGAACTATTTTTATGCTCTTGTCTGCCTATATTACATTATTCTTATTCATGGAATATTAGTTTTTTATTGCCTTCTACAATATTTTCTTAATAAACAAAAATTAGTTTAGCTTTGGACATATATCTTAACACCTTCTGCTTGTTGACATATATGTATTACAACAGTTGCAAATGCAAAGATGTATTCGATACATATCCTATGTCATCTCGGATATTCTAAAGAGTTCTTCCGTATAGTTCGGCCACATCTTATAAGTAACTGCATAAAAAACTTTGTTGGCTTATGTTATAATTTGGTAATCATGATACTTAATACTCTGAACATCACTTTTACGATAAAACTGAATATTAGAAATATCGAGTATTGTCAACTTGACTCACTTCCACTTTCGATCTGTGAAGCCTCCAACGTTTCAGAAATTTTTGATGATATGTGTTTATAAAAAAACCCTTTACATATCTATACTCACTCTTGTCTCTTTTTTCCGTGCCGACAACAAGCATAGGAAAACATCTGCACGGTTTGTCAACGAACGTCCCTATAACAGACGAAAGTCTAAAGTAATCTCGAAAAAAGCCGCAATTTTTTCTTTTTTTCATCAACAACTTACGATGCCATTGAGATTTTTCCAAACGAGTCGTGAACCAAATACTCTTTTGGACCATCGCTAAAAAGGGTAGATGGGCTTGTATTTGAAGTAAAACCAACTATTTGTAGAAGGTAAATCGACCAATGCAAATATAAGTAGACACAAAACGTCGATACTTCTCGTGTTATGAAAAAGTAAAAGTCATTGGTATATTGCTGATTACGAGTAGACTTATGGCTAATTCTTGAATTTAGTTTAACGAAATTAATAGCAGCAAGTAAAAATAGTATACTGGACCACGTCCCACCATTAAATACCCTACCATATAGTTATCCATATTAGATTTTTTCAGAATAAGGATTTACAGAGTACACGATTTCATCAAAATGTCTGAAAACATTGCCATCTGTAGATGAAGTAAAAGGAAATGAGACGGACAGACAAACCGAGGGACAAGCTTAAATGTATGCAGAAAGTGATTCTGCATTGATCGGTACAGCAAAAGTGTTTCTGGATGTTTCGTGGGTAGGATATAAAAATCATGAGAAAAAATTGTGAAAATAATTGTTGCTTTTACTTGAGAAATGTACAGAGGCTATAAATTGGACTATTATTTACATGTGCTTCCTTTTGCTTTGCACGTACCTTGAACTTTGTTTAGGCCTCAATATTTTAGTGGTCAGAAAATTTGAATCATGCGTCCACATGTGAATGCAAAAATACAGACATACATCAAACTGTATATATCGCATGCAAAAAGCTGTTGGAAAATATTCACAGTTAAGGGTAACTCCTGGTACACCAACAAATGCATAGATTAACAATGAACACATTATTTTGGCACACGGCCCACCCTATATCTCTCTACAGGTATCCATATAACGACTTTTCAACATAAGGTGTTCTATGGGGAGTGGCCGAAAAAGTTGTCCGATCGTAACTATTTTATATAATGTACCGGATTTCATGAAAATATCTGAAAAATTGCGACCACAAAATTGTTGCACACAAGAAACAATGGCGGACAGACGAACAGACAAGTTTAGATCGATGCAAAAATAAATACAAACTTAATATACTCTTGTACGATAAATGGTGCAGGCTATAACAAAAATATAGACTCCCTATCGATAGCTAATAAAGGTCACTTATCTTAGAAAATTCGCTTATAGCAAGGTTGTAGGTGCATTCAATAATTATGTTTGATGCTGCAGAGGAAGGATGGCCTTTTTTTTGGATAGTAAGCACAATTTGCTCATTGAATTAAACCCATTATAGTGTTTAGCATTTTAAATTAGTTTGATGGGCACTGTACAAATGCGTTATGCAGAGGACGAGAAGATTAAATCAAACCTCACACACCTTTCTTTTTTTATAAACTAAATGAAATAAAGTAAATTTTGAAAAATTGATTTGAACTTGAACGAAATTTCATTTTTCTCTTATAGCAAAAAATTAAAATTGAAATGAAAAAATATATAATATGTATTTAACTTATGTTCGTGCGTGTGTGTGTGTGTTTGTGTGTATGCAAATTGTTTAAAAGTAAAGGCGATAAGGTTGAATGAACATGAAAATGATAGAAAGGCAAGGCTTTAATAGTCATACAATTAATATATAAATAATTTTATATACGTTTTAAATAATCTTTTAAAATAATATATATATATTTATATATGTATACATATATAAGTATGTAGGCATGTACAATTTTTTTCTTAAAGTGATATTTAAATTTGATTTAATATACTCAAGTAATTGTCTTCTGCCGAAGCAAATTTAAATAATTTGTGTTTGTAACCTAGAGGTTAGCCTTTAATTATATTCCAAGCTTTTGTTACTGGAAACTCTATATATCATGCCCTTGTCAATATAATTTACAAATGAATTTCTTTTGGAAACCAATTATTGTTTAAATCTTCATTGTCTTATCACAGAAATTTTGTACTTCTTTTACATTCAAGCCTTGCTATTGAACTCTTGAACCGATGCCTCAACCCTTGCTTCACTACTTACTTACTCGCAACACACACTTACTCGCTTTAGATAACTTTCTTGAGATGCATTTATCGCGACTTGTTATATTATCACTTTTATAGCTCACTATTATTTCTCATTTGTGTTGCTTGCATTTTCTTCTTTTGCTCTATTACAGAGAAAGAGTTTATTTAGCGCAGTCCTTTTCTTCATACATACATGTGGATATACGTTTGTTCATTTCCTTCTATTGAATAATTTATCTATATATGTGTCTGTATTATATCTTACTTTTAGTAAATATATAAGTTGTTGTGTTCTGCTGAAAAGGAATTTTTTCATTGAAGTCGTCTTCTTTTCTTAAAACCATGGGTATGGTAGCTAAAGAGTACATGCGTCTGTGTTGCACACAATTTCTCATTTTCTCCGTGGAATTATGAATATACGAAAGCTGTTATTATACTTCATTATTATTGCCATTGAGCGATAATGAACTCAAATCATGCCATCTTCTCGGCCGATGCCGTCACTCGTTCCAAAACCCCTGTTGGATGCTTTTGTCCAGCATCTATAATCTTTGGCATTTCAATTCCTCCAAGGCAGATAAACGTTTCTCTTTTTTTATGTATTTATTTACTTATTTTTCTTTAATATGACCACCAATCACTCAGAGTATGCTCCCTATTCGCGTAACATGGTGACGGTTGGAAAGTAGAAGATGTGAAAAAGGAGAAAGAGATAGGCAGACGGTCGCAGGGCAGTGGGTATGTGCGCTCAACAGCTAAGTATTATGCGACTGAGAACTCACTATAGGTAGGGCCAAAGCAAAACTGCACCGCACGGAGATTTGAATCCGCGAATATTGATTCGTTAGTCGTGGATCTCACCTCTCGCTTCTACTCTTTGTCTTTGATTCTTTGTGTTACTGGTCCATTTCTGTTGCATACTCTGATTTCTCGTATGTTTTGAATTTTGAAACGACAATATGAAGGAAATACCTCTCGCAGACATTTAGGTTTTTTAATATGATCTGTGCAATAAGCAGTTCCGGAACCTTGGGAATTATATCTTTTTCTTTTTTGCATTTTCTCACTTGCTTGCTAGGGGAAAGACACCCTATTTTGTCGATTCAGTCCTTGGTATTGACACCTCAAGCTGAAAAAACATTTGATGTTCCACATCCTTAATGTTGTTAGAAGAGTAGTATTTTTTAAATAAAGCCTATGTATGTATGAAAACTCGGCTATCAAGTCAATGTTAGCGAGTTCAAATCTCAAATGTGGCAGAGTTAAACTTCGTCCTAGCTAAAGGGCTCAGCCAGTAAAGGAATAATATTTATGACAAATAACACTTATGGGGCTTACACTCACAGGACTACGGCGATGATTTTTCTTACCTACCTCTTCCTCCTTTCCCTTCTCCTTGTGACCACCATTGTGTTGCACGAATAGGGGACATCGTCTGTGTGATTGATCCGCATTACATAGAGTTGAAAGCAACATTTGCTGCTTATCAGTTAGATAGAGCGGAATTCTACTTTCTCCGCTGGTCGAAGGGTCAGTTGTCAAAATATGATTTATGTCTACACGTTCAGCATCTATTATGCCGCTTAAGAAATAATCTTTTTTTATACTTTACTTTTTTACTTTTTACTTTTATAATTTTTACTATACTATACTCGTCTGTCCACCAGGATGTTGCTTAGGTTGTAGGTCAGTGCTTTGTTCAGGAAATTAATCAGTGAGACGTAATCAGTGAAAATTTCATCGCTTGAGGTTAATGATTGATCTTCGAAAACTTGAATTCATTTTGCTTAGGGAGGCTGATACGCTGAGCAGGAACATTGCGTCCCATTAATAAGACTAATGATGGATCCTATTAATGTATTAAATATAAAGGGCTGTGTAGGGCTATACAATGTCATATTTTAATTTTTTAATGTGTATTTGGTTTAGTCCCGACAAAGAAGATAGGAAAGGTTCGTTTATTTTTTAACAAAACTCTTTTATCTTAAAGTATTTAAGTGAAAATTTAACAAATTTCAACAAAAATATTTATAATTTTTTTGCTTTTTCTCTTTCTTTTTTAATTTCAATTTTTATTTAACTTAACAGCATGGATTTGAATTCGATGATCTTGCAAATCTCATTTATTGTTATGTACAGCGAAATGATGGCGTACGGGTTTATTGGTCAAGAGGAGCGTAAATGTAAATATCTACGCGTTGATAAATTATTAAAAATTCGCTGTTACGATATGAACTTAAAAGAAGTTCCACCATATCTAAAAACATCGGTGGAGGTAAGTAAACCTCTTTTAATTGAATTTAATAAGAGAAGGCATTTATTTAACTTATTGAATTGAATTGAAACACTTTCGTGACATCTTAGTGTGGGAAACTTTAAATTAAAAAATTTTCTAAATTGATTAAGTGACAGTGACTGAGAAGCAGACAGAGTTTGAATCGAGTAATGTAATAATATTTGCATGTAGGGAATAATTAGTAATAATGCCTCCGATACAAGTTCCCAACAGTTTGCGAGATTCTGTTAAATTTTTGAAGAGAAATATAGGATTTACGATTTATTCCGAAGATGGCTATGGGGATTTATAAATTTTTTAAATTTGTTGTAAAAAGAAGGCACCTTACAAAAAAATGGTTGAAAAGGCCGCCCGATCTCAAGCATTTTTAATAGCCTTCACCCTCGGACCAAAACACGTTAGTATATTAAATTTCATCTCTTAAAATATATAGCGCGTGGCTTCAACACAAGAAAACAAGGCAGACAGACGGACAGACATGATATCGATCGATATAATCAAAGTTGAGCCTATCTCAACTCCATGTGGGTGTTGCATACCTTCGCGTAAACTTAATATACCTTTGTACCAAAAGTGGTGTAGGATATAATAAACATTAAATGATAAACAAGAAGAAAAATTTGCCACGGATCCAATCTTGAGTATTTTCATATTTTACATCTGCACTTGAATATCGCATTTATCATTTCTCAATGGGGTTGTACGATGATATACAGATATAGAATGACTATTGACGAATTCATATGATTTTTAGAAAGTATCAACTTTCAACCAAAGGATCAAAGAACTTAAGTTAGATCCACCATGCACGTAAATTGTGATTCTAAATCGATCTAAGTTTGTCCGTCCGCCCATCAGCCTGCCTGTTCAATTTACAGACAACAGTTTCTGAGGTATTTATATAAAATTTAGTACACCGGCGAGGAGTTTTGGCCTAAAGACGAAAGCCATTAAAAATGCTTCGCGTCGAACCTCTTCCTCGATCACTTACGACAAAAAATCAAATTTTCAAAAATTGTTATATGAATAAATTTGTTATAGGAGTCAATGTAGAGGTGTGCAAGGTATTTTACCGTCGACCAAGGTCAACCTTTAGTGTTATCATTTGTTTTAGGTAGGGTATATATCTACGTTTATACATGAAGCTAATAATACCAAGGAAACAAGTAAAGACATTTCGTCTCTAGATTCGGTTTATCCCATCTAGCTATGTTCAAAAAATTAGTTAAAACGGTTCAATTAGAAGTAAGGTAAGAAATAACATGAGGCCCACCATGTGCTAGGTCTACAAAGACTCATCGGAGAAATCGTAAGCTTCACACATTTATGATCAATGGAATTGAAAGGTTTTCTCTGCAAAGCAAAAAGATTTATGCTCAAATAATTCTTTATCCCTTTCATTGGGTTAATATATTAGCTAAATTGATCCATAGGTGAAGTGAGAAAATCCAATGAAATTCATCTAAGGTATGCTTACATCTAGGCGTATTGTAAGTAAGACTGCTCTAGGCTTATGTAATTAATGTTCCTGTGTAATCAATCAGTCAGTCACGTCATTTCTTGATAATTATATAATTTGTTTAATAAAATTTGGAAAAGAAAGTCTTAGATTACAAGCGTTGAATATATATTTCATCGCAAGAATGAAGAATAAAATCGAAAGTGTAAAAATTCACTTATAGGTTAAAGCTAAAGTTGAACCCCCGATTTTTATATATTCATTGTTCGTTCTTCGCAGCACAATGGATGTGACAAAAAGTCAATTTATAACAATGAAGTTAAAAGCCTGCGATCAGACATATGAGTAAACATACATACAAACACATTAAAACATTATATGAAGTTTATTGTGCGTATGAGTTGTTAAGGGAAAAGGGGGTCAGTTCAAAATGAACATTAATTGAATTTAATTATTAAATGAAGTGAAATAACTGAAAACTGTACAAAACATTTTATTATATGTCATTTTCTGTCTTTTTTTCCTTTTTTTTTTTTTTTTCATTGTAGGTTCTGGATTTGTCATTCAATCGGATAAAAAAATTGAAACGCAGCTCATTTCAACCATATAAAAATATAAAATTTCTTTTGCTTTATGAAAATATGATACAATCAGTAGAGCCGGGTTCATTTTCTTACCTCACTTCATTACAGGTAAATGAGAGAGAGGAAAAAAAATAAATAAATGCAATATTTCAATTAACGGCATTCGTGCATTTTGCGATTTTGTCTTAATTGCTTGACAAATTGAGTTGGATCATGCAGCATTTTATTTCTATATCTTTTACAAAATTAGGAAATTGATCTATCGAATAACGCTCTAATGACAATACCATTAGAAATATTTCAATTGCCCGCCTTACGTAATTTGTACGTGGACAGCAATGATTTAATGTATTTACCCAGCGACTTAGAGGTAAGAGCGGAAAATGAATATTTTTGCGGACGGGATATAATATATGTGACATTTGTCTTTTAGGCTTTGGAAAGACCTATACAAGCACCCTTGGAATATCTAAATATAGCCGATTGCGGTCTACAAGATCTACCAGATTTGGGTATATTACCCAGTAAGTTGGTTTTTTCCATATAACAATTGAAAAAAAAATATTTTTTTGCCATAGAATATGATAGAATGTACGCTACGAATGAAAATTAGTAAATTGGTTTATTATTATTATACTCTACACTTCGGTAAAGCGCATATTATATATGTGACTCTGTATATAATACTAAAAAGGGCTTATGAAAGATCCAGCTTTTGTTACATTTATTAAATCGATTGATTCAAAAAATGGCTCTGAACTGATTTAAATATAGTCTTGTCTGCCTATCTGTCCATAAAGCATCTATTTATGGAATATGTGTTCAACCTACTATTCGCTAGTTTTGATCTGCTTTGTTCCAACGAGAAATCCTCTTCCAAATAGATTGGTTCGGACCACGTTTTCGAGATACTCCATTTATAACGCTTTATTTTTAGAAGTCGTCATAAGGAAGAAACTAACAATTCCCAGAAATTGTTGACAAAAATCTCCGGCATTTCGGCATTTCAAGTTGTTGTGAACAATTTAGGCCTCTCATAAAATGGTTCCTAAAAAAACTGAATTTTCATATGATAAAAAGATTTAATTTTTCAAGTATCATAATGAAAATTGGTATAATAGTAATTTGACATAGAAGTTAGCTTTTTTTGGATCTATTTTGGCGACCCAATCCTGCATACATATTCGAATAAAAAACAAGCAAAACAATAAATACGATGATCTAGCGTAGGGTATTTAACGGTCGGCGTTATCCAACAATAACGTTCTTACATGTCGTTATTATAATCTATTTAGAGAAAAGATACGAATTCTAGGAGCAACGTAGGTTGATCACTAGCAACTAATGCTGTCAGTTCTTTTTTTTTTTAGTGTAGTCCCATTATTTTTAGGACGTCCATAAGGCTAAAAGCTCCAAATACTAGAATATGCTAACTTCTCAGAAATGTTTGAAATTATCGTAAGGAGAAGGGATAGTGCATTTTTCTTGAGATATATTGCATGTTTGTAAAACCTGACAACAACAAAAAAAACCTTCTCTTTTTAATTTTTTTTTTATAATGAGTTTAGCTGAACAATTACGTCTTTCTAAGAATCGTGTCTTTCGCTCTGATGTCAAATAGTTGTTTTTCTATCGTTTTTCTCAAACCGGTCACGAAATATTACTTATGCTCTACAGCGAGTTACACACACCCAAAAATCTAGATTTGTCCGATTCTCCGAGTGATGTACAGTGTAAAAAACTTGCCCTATATCGGCTGTTATTCTAAGGAATTCAAGATTTCTTGTAATGAAAGCTGAATCAATAACGTCAGCTGCGTAAAAATGTACTCAATATCCTATAGTACTAGTAGAGTCTACTTAGAGTGAGTATTGTGGCCTCGATTTATAATTTTTGTTGTTATTTTATTTGATCGTTTAAGAGCTTTGGCATATTAATGCCTCCCTGAATCCCTTAATGGATCTCAGCATAGAACGCTTTGCTTTAATGTGCAATCTAAAAAGTGTTGATTTAACCCGTAGCGAATTAACGCCATGTCAATGCCAGCAGGTTAATAATCATCTAAGAGTAGTTGAAGTTAAAACGAAATTTGTGCCTGTATGTCTCGGTAAGTATAGCAGGGGAAAGTTGTAAAAGCGCGCGCGTGAAATATTATCCTTCCCTTCTAATACGTTTTTAAACTTTTCCAATTGTAGAAACTCTGGACGGATCCAAATGTCCACTGCCATATAATTATACTATTAACTCTATGGATTTTATTGCTTGTAAAAATTCCGTTAAATTAGCGGAAAAAAGGAGTATGTGGTTATTTGTAACCGGTTGTGCTGGCGGTATTTTATCGGTTCTCTTAAGTAAGTCAACTTATATCATTTTTCAAAACACTGAAGAATTTATTTAAATTTTTTTTATTTTTTTTTTTATATAGTCATGTGGTTATGTATACATAGACGTCGAAAAAAAAATGTTAAAAAATTGCGTGCCTCTGCCTTGCAACGTAGAAGTTTAGTTATATCGCCAAAGAATGCCATAAACAAAAGAGATCATCAATCAAATTATAATAATCACAACAATGACTTGTTAAGCTGTGATACTGCCTAAAATGAATGAATATCAAAATACCAAAGTGTGACAATAATCTTTTTAGAGAGAAACTAGAGAATCATATTCGAATTATTAACATCTAAGTTAATCGTTGTATTTATAATATATTTTAGGGGAAATTTTAGTATTATTAAGAAACGAAAGAAGCGAGTCAAAACAAGGTGCCTTAATATTAGCATAGTTTTATAAAATAAGTAAAAAAAAAAAAAAAAAAAAAAATTAAAAATTTACTTTTTAAAAAATGACTTAATAAATCTTTTCTATTTATCAATACTTGAAGATATGTTTCACACTTTCTTTGTATAATGGTAAGAACAATTTTTTGAAATATCTAAGCAAAAGCTTTCGATATTTACAGGACATTAATAGGTGTATAAATAAATTCTTTCCGTTTTTGATTCTCACCAAGCTTAATGAACGCTATATCTAACTCCATTATCGATAGTCTTTCCCAATTTGTCGGGCAGCTTATGGATGTCCTTGCGGTAGAAACTTTGCGGCTTTCGATGCAAAGCAGCCATCGGTTAGTTTTCGCACAACTTCAATTGGCCGGGTCTTAAAAATACACGGTATGCAATAAAATATCCCAGCCTAAGTTGAAAATCTTTCCTTGGCTGTTGCTTTGGTCATCAATAGATGTTCAAATAAATTGTTAAATGGATGCGTAGAGAATTAGTGCAATGTGTTTGAAAAGCTTAAATACCTCAAGTTGATCGATAATAAAGTAATACGTAATTAATTAATTTATATATAGTAATACGCACTAAGTTGTGACCTTTTCTTATAACCCAAACTTGATGGTATACATTCTTGAATTTATTGACCAGTTAATGACACAACTATTCAGGGCAAGCAATACCTTCAAATCACATATTGTGTGACAATTAACGATCATTTTCAGATTCTAAATAAATGAAAAATTTATATTCACCTTGGAGACGATCATAAATATGCTCAACACTTGAGATAAAAGATTGAGGCA